GAGTGAGCTGTCCAGAGAAGCAGATGCAAAGCCATTGAAGTTTGATGCGATTGCAGCGATTGCCGTGCCTAAAACAACTTATGTAATGACGGGTGCACCTGTTGAAGCGCAGATCATGTTTGCTGCTTACAATACCACTGCTAATCCTACCATCACCACAAGTGGCGGTAGTGTAAAGGTAGAGAAGGGTGTAGGTACCTGGAAAGGCACTGCAAACGGCGTAGGTCTGCAAACGGTACGTGGTACCTTGTCTGTAAACCTGGGCGACCGTACTGAATCACAGCCTTGGTCATTCCAATACATGGTTGGTTCTGCAGGTGCTTCGGTTCAGCTGGATAAGATGAACGTATTTTACATCGGTGTTACCAACCCGATCACAGTAACAGCAGCCGGTTATTCCCTGGAAGATGTTTTTGTAAATATCCCGGGTGCTGATGTAAAAGCAACGGAGAAGGGTAAATATGATGTGACTGTAAGTGCAGCCACCGGTGCAAAAACAACAGCAACTATTATTGCAAAAACACCTACCGGTAACAAGGAAGTAGGTAAAATGGACATCCGTGTAAAACGTATTCCTGATCCTGTCGCTGAAGTTGGTGGTAAATCAGGTACCTTTACAATGCCTGTAAACGTTTTCAGAGCACAATTGGGTGTTGCAGCTGTGTTGAAAGGTTTTGACTTTGAAGCGAAATTCCAGGTAACAAGTTTTGAATTTTCTTATTATCCCAAGAGAGGAGAGTACACACCAATGGGCGTTGTTAGCGGTCCGAGATTCTCTGATTCCCCTGCTATACTGAACTACGTTCAACACGTTGCAAAAATTGGTGATAAGATATACATTGATAATGTCAAGGCGAAAGGTCCAGATGGTACCACTCGTTCTTTGGGGAATATTACGATCATTTTAAACTAATTTTATACTGCTAATATTTTAAGGAGCATGACTATCCTAAATTCATATAAGATTGCAGCGCTTGCAGCACTATTAACCGCAAGTACATCATCCTTTGCGCAGGATCCTGCTACCGCAGGTAATAACAATGAGCCGGTATCCGCCAAATGGCAATCATCACTCGTTCGTGATGGTGCCTATGACCGGGTGCCCCATGTTAGCGGCACCATTGCCTGGCAGAATATTCGGGAAGCGGATGTAATGTGGAAGAAGCGTGTCTGGAGAGAAATCGATACCCGTGAACGCCAGAATCTTCCCTTCCGTTATGTAGGTGATGACCAGACAGGTGGCGGTACCTTTATCGAAATCCTGCTGGACGCTGTGAAGAGAGGTAAGATCAAAGCCTATTCTGTATATGGTGGCGATAACTTTAGTAAAGCACTGACCAAGGACCAGATCATGGAAATGCTGGTAGGTGCACCGGACACGATCATCCAGATTGACCCGGTTACTGAAGAAGAAACACGCGTAATCTCTAACCGTGACTTTAACCCGGATCTGGTAACTAAGTACCGTATCAAGGAAGACTGGATCATGGACCGTAACATTGGCCGTATGGTGGTTCGTATCATCGGTATCGCACCAATGCGTGATAAGATTGATGACGAAGGTAACTTCCGCGCCTCTTACCCAATGCTGTGGATCTACTATCCTGAATTGCGCCCGGTTATGGCACAATACGAAGTATTCAATCCTGAGAATGATGTACACCGTCTTACCTGGGATGAATTCCTAGAAGGACGTTACTGGAGCGGCCGTATTATACAGG